GAAGGAAGGAAGGAAGGAAGGAAGGAAGGAAGGAAGGAAGGAAGGAAAAAAGAGATGGATGGAAGAAGGAAGGTAAAAAGATGGATGGAGGAAGGAAGGAAAAAGAGATGGATGGAGGGATGGATGGAGGAAGGAAGGAAGGAAGGAAGGAAGGAAGGAAGGAAGGAAGGAAAAAGATGGATGGAGGGGTGGATGGGTGGAGGGATGGATGGATGGAGGAAGGAAGGAAGGAAGGAAGGAAAAAGAGATGGATGGAGGAAGGAAGGAAAAAAGATGAAAGAAGGAATGAAGCAAGGAAGGAAAGAAGGAAGGAAAAAATATGGATGGAGGAAGGAAGGGAGGGAGGAAAAAGAGATGGATGGAGGGATGGAGGGATGGAAGAAGGAAGGAAGGAAGGAGAACAGAATAACAGAGTTAGAAGGGACCTTGGAGGTCTTCTAGTCCAACCCCGTGCTCAATTAGGAAACCCTATACCATTTAAGACATATGGTTGTTCTTAAAAACTTCTTAAAAACTTCCAGTGTTGGCGCATCCACAACTTCTGGAGGCAAACTAGAAGATCCCCCCAAGGTCCATTCCAACCCTGTAATTCTATGTTTTCTACGTCTGTGATTTTCTTACCAGCACAGACGTCCATGTTCCTCCTTGAGTTCGGAGGGACTGACTTCCTTGAAACACCACGCAACTTCTGGTGACAGAGAACGCCTTGAGTTTCGGTGACTTGACGCCCCTCCATCTTTTTGTCGTTTCAGCTCATGTGCTCCTCCCTCCAGAAGGCATTGTTCGATGAGGAGGACCACGTGAAGAAACTCCAGCAGAAAGTGGCCACCTTGGAGAAACGCAACAAGCATCTACAAGACCGAGTGAAGAAGGTCAAAAGGTTGCTGAGGCAAACCAGGAAGAGCAGTCGGCACATGGAGCTGGTCAACCAGAAGCTCAACGAGAAACTGTCCTCTACTGGGGCTCAGTTCCCCTACGCGAACTCCTTAAAGCAAGCCAATTCCCGGGCCACATACCTGAAAGTGTAAGAGCAAATCTGGCGCTTCAAAGCTACAGTCTTTGTTCTGACCAAGGCTTCCGAGACCGTATTTTAAAAACAAGTCTTGTTTTGTTGCAACGCTGGGAATTATTTTCATTCCAGGCCGGTAATGAATCTCAAACAGTCCCTCAAGATAAGCACTCACCTTTCTTTCCTGGGAAGTGCTGCCAAGAACAGAAGTGTCCAATGAACTAGAACAAAAAAAATCCACTGAAGTACAAAGAGCTTCAGGGATTAAACTGAACCGAATGGACAACTTTGCTTCCTGCAAAGATTTTGTCATCTTGGCTTGACTTTTATACCTTATGGGAGGGACAATCATCTCCCAGCCTTACTCCCGAGTCACCCCTTTTGTCTTAGCTACTCTTGCCTTCTAGCAGCTCTGTGCAAGCGTGCACTGGGAAGAAGGCTCCCCTTGTTCCTCCGCCTCGCTGATATCAGATTCTGAAGGCTCCAGAGTCAGCACCCCACTCCCAGATGGTCCTGGCTGCATCTCTGCATCGGATGCAGGACCCTCATCTGAGTCCTCTCCAGACTCCTGGACTGGTCCCCGTTCTTCCCCACTGTCCAATTCCGCTGCCGTCTGCACCGGCTGCCAGCGAACCATAGCAGTCTTAGTGATCGAATGGTGTGTCCTTCTCTACCCAATCTCACCTTGAGAAAGAACCAGCGGGCATTTCAAAGTCTTTGGCTTTTGACTGTGAAGAATTTGCACCTCAAGTGGATATCATATCTCACTGGCTTCGAACCAGCTTCATTGGACACACAATTCCTTGTGTATCCAATCACACTTGGCCAATAAAGTATAAAGTATTTTATTCATGAATAGGATTCAAGTTTTGCCTTGGAGGGAAGCACAGAGTGTTGCCTTCGGAACAGTTGGCTTGAGACTAACTAGGGATGAGTTTATGGACCATAGTTAAGGAGGGAGGTTGGGTTTTGGATGGGTCCAGTGATACGGGATTAACAGGTAGTCCTTGATTTACAACAGATCGTTTAGTGACCATTCAAAATTACAATGGCACCGAATAAAGCCGTGTGATCTTCTTTTGGTGACCTTCTGTCCAGTAAAGTCAATGTGGAAGATGAAGTCACTTAACAACTGAATAATTAACTTAAGAAATATCTACTGAGATTCTCTATCATCCAAGTCATAGTTGTCCCAAAAGTGCTTTTTTTTCAAGAGGCAACTGGACTTTCTTGGGGTTTTCTTTGAAGAGGTTTTGCTTCTCCTCCAAGAAGCTTCTTCAGTTCAAAAGGAAGAACCCTGAACTGAGAATTGAAGAAGCTTCTTGGAGGAGAAGCAAAACCTCTTCAAAGAAAAAAATGAAGAAAGTCCAGCTGCCTCTTGCAAAAAGCACCTTCAGGACTAACTTCATAACTTGTGGTTCCTTTAACCACTCCAGCAAGAAACATCATAAAATGGGACAAACCTCATTTAACAACTGTCTCACTTAACCCCAGAAATGTTGACTTCAGTTCTGGCCGTAAGTTGAGGACTACCTGTCGTCCAGTAGCTGAAAGCACTAAAGGGAAGTTGAACCTTCTCCAAATGGTGGGAGGAGAAATGACCAAGGACTCCAGGCAAGCTCACTGAAGAAGCAGACAAGTCTAAGTGTAAATAATAAAAAGTTTATACGCTCCTGATCCTGAGAAAGTCTTGGTATGAATGCGAAGGAGCTATGAGATTGGGACGAGTGAAATTCCCTTCTGTCCAAAGATGTTCACGGATAGATTTAAATATAGGCTTCAAAGGAAGCTTCTAGCTTTGAGTAACACTACTACACCGTATCTGGAAGGAACTCCCACAGGGCAGAGGGTGTTTTTTTCCTGCTGATTACCATGACTCTCATTTTTTTTAAAGCTACTGTTCCCTTTACATCTAATTTATTGCATTTTAAATCACACTAATCTTCATGCCACAAATATAAAGTTCACATTCTTTCCTTACATTCACTTCCAACAATCTCACTCTTGTCTCCTTCCCTTCATAAAATTTTGGAAACAATTTTAACTGTTCTCTCTCCCTCCTTCCTGCTCCCCCTCTCTTTCATCTATCATCTATCTATCTCACCTATCTATGATCAATCATTATCTATCTATCTGTCTGTCTATCATCTGTCTATCATCTATCTATCATCTATCTATCTATCTATCTATCTATCTATCTATCTATCTATCTATC